ACTTGGTTTCACGTGGTCTGTTTACTGAGTGGGTGATTACTGCTACTTGGTTTCACGTGGTCTGTTTACTGAGTGGGTGATTACTGCTACTTGGTTTCACGTGGTCTGTTTACTGAGTGGGTGATTACAGCTACTTGGTTTTATGTGGTCTAGTTGCTGAGTCTGAATACTGATGATTGTTTTCTGTGTTCTTTAGCAACTTGGTGTTATTTACAAACAAAGTTGGGAAGTTCCTGCATAGAGTTTTGTGTGTAAAGATCCAAAAGCATGAGTATCGGTGGGTGATATAAATTTGCGTTAGATTAAATTGATATAAAGCTCTCTAAATATTTTTTATTCTTTTGTTTTTGTTAAAACTGACATTACTTATTATGATATTGTTCTTTACTCTTGATAGCCCATGACTTCCCACAACAAAGGAGGACTGATTGCAGGTGCAGCTGCTGCACTTGGGGGTGCTGGACTTCTGGGAAAGGGTGGAAAGGTAAGTTGACAATTTTTCATAGGGAAATATTTCCAGCTTGTTTAATGTAGTGATATGATTTTGATCAAGGAAACTCCTTTTAACCAACTTTTTCTCGTTTTAGATTTATAATGTAGTGATATAATGTAAGACATTACAATAAGGTACTTCCCATAAGAAGCTGTTTCATTTTAATATTGTAATGTAGAGATATAATGTAAGACATTACTAGTAAGGTATTTTTCATAATCACACAAAAGCTTGTACTTGAGTCATTTGTTACTCAACCAGAGTTTTTTGTTCCAGATTTATAACAAGATTATATGGTGTCTACTATAAGTAGACAAACATTCCAATTCAAATTTGTATAGGATAGGGATTTTGTTAACTCTACAAGTATAGGTTTGGTCATTTTGACTAATCATGTAGCCATGAAACTATATATTCTACAACTGGATATACTATGTGTATCTTCTTGAAATTTGGCAAGCTTTTAGTAAAGAATACAAGTTTGCTGAACACAACAATTCAAGTTTTTAAATAAAGCTTTATCTGTAAAGTTACTGAGTCAATCAGACTCGAACTAGTTTGAGTGATAGGTTATTTTCATGTTGAAAATAAAAATACTGTATTTTTGAGATCTGTTTTTTTATTTTATTTGTGTGACCTCTAAAACCCCCTAAATAAATATGAAAAATATATTTTCAGTAAAATTTTATATATTTCACTTTGCCTAACAATAACTGTAATGAAAACAACAATCTAGGGAAAATGAAAGGTTGAAAAATAAATCTGAATTGCCCATTTTTCTTTGTAGAATGACTGCATAGTGTAACAGACAGTTATACATTATTTATTCTTACAGCCAAACCTAATAATCTTCAAATCTGGTTTCATTTAATTTTAATTTTATTTATTTACAGATGCACTTGGATAAACTCAGACTATGCCAAAAGCCACTTATCACAGATGGACAGCTTTGTGTAATCAAATGATCAAATTACAATCACTCCTTGTAATGTGCATGTGCTAATATATTAAGTATCAAATTGACCAATGTCATATAGAGTTAAGGTAGAGAAAAGAACAGATAAATATAGTTTTACTGAAAAAAACGTTTGAAATTTATTTGAGAGGTTCTAGAGATTATGCAAATGAAATACAGAAAAGTATTTTTAATCTTAACATAGAAATATTTTTACACTCAGAGCAGTCAACTCTGACTTCATACATTCACAAAGAAATTTTTAGTGAAAATACTTCATTAGAAATTCTGATTTTTGTCTACAATAGACACCTAATGCTTTCTGAAAGCATGCAAAATTTCCTGAAGATAAATAAAACATACTAGAAGTTATAGTATGGAAACTATAAAGGTCAATTTTGGTTCACAAACTTAGCTGATTCAGCTGAGCTCATTGTGAGAAGGTTAAAACAAAATATTATCAAGCACAAGAAATAGGATGTCCTAAAACTACTATAATTTAACTGGCTTTTTAACCTAAGCTATAAGTGGGTTAAAAAATTCTGTTAGCTGGTCAAACCAAACACTACAAATGAAACTGAGGGTAATGTTTTCTGACCTAGCACTTAAATTAACTAACCTCCCAACAAATCTAACAAATTACAATCTGATTTTTCTATTGGTTACAAATACTCCAACAGCAAATGTCTGAGAGAATTGTTGACATTTTACTCTCCTCTCTGCACAACAAACAGCTTTAATACCTCGCACACTGCTGTGAAGATTTTCATGCATACCATAAAGCTTGAACAAAGCTCTCGCCCATATACATGTTAACATATATCAGTTATCATGTAATCAATATTAGACTATAGCCCTCTCAGTAGGTAGGTGATACATCCTCCACATGCTGTAGTCTACCTGAGCACTAGCATTTGAACAAAGGCTCATTCTTTCTTGGGTACTTCTTGCCATCAGTCATATCTTTTTCATAGGAATCATGAAAATTTATGTGCTAATTATTCTCAACTTTTGTAGTATAAGCTTCTTTTTTAATGTTTTTGATTATATTGAACAAAGATACTAAATTTTAAAGTTTTCCATTAGAACTTTTAATTCAAATTATCTTTAATTTGATTTTTCTTTTAATCTAAATTGTCCTTTTGGGACACATGTTCCATTCTCAGTGTTAAAGTTTCTTTGTCAGTATAAAGGTTCCACTGTTTTACACAACATACAGGTTGTCATTGGACCTATATTCCATCAAGTTATCAGGCTCATTTTATTTCTAACAACAAAAAAAGAAACAGAAAAAAATTAAACACTTTCTGGATTTTGCGAAGTTACCTATTATTCATATTTCACCATAAAGAACGTTCACAAAATCAATTTCATGGGTCAACTGGATTACACATTCAAGTTTTCATGTTTTTGACAACTGAGGTTTTGATACTCCTTTGTAGGAGTAATCCGATACTGTAATGGTACTGGAGGCATTTTTAATTAGTGACACATCACCATTGTGCTCCAGGAAGTTGGATCTAGAATTCTTGACCTCCTGCTTCTGATACATCAGCTGAGCCTGCCACATCTTATGATGCACTTCACCACTAATGTTTTCATGCCTGCTTTTGCTTGTAGTCCTGTCTTTCAATGAGGAGCACATAGTCTTACCTTTGTACTTCATTGCTTGGATTCCACACATACAGATTTTTTGTTTTCTCTTTCTTCAGTTGTCTTTTGCTGAAACTTAGGTTTTCTTGTTGCACGGGTTTCCATCATTTAAATATCTTCTTTCCATTTAAGGATCTCCTTTCTTTCTTTTTTTTTTTTCCTTCTAACTCTTTCCATTTTACTCATCTTCATTTTTTACTTCCTTGACTTCTTCACTACTTATGCTTCACTTTTTTTTAGAGGTTTCTCGGCCCTAACAGCTTTACTGGAGTAACTTACACATGCCTTTTTTCCACCTTACACTTGATTTTCTTCCATTTTATCCAAATTAATTTGGTGTCTTTAATTCTGCAATTTTCTTCATTGGTTTGTCTTACTTCCTGCCATTTCCCTTGCTCAGTCTTCTCTCCAGGACCTCTGTTGTGCACCCTTTCTTTGTGATGTGGTATTTGTATTCAGGGTATTTGTTATATTTTGGAATCTTGAGCTGATGCAACTCATCAACCATCTTCTCTGCTTACTTTGGATTTTTGCCTTTGGAATCAGGAGGACCTGCTGGGTTTCTCATCAAATACAGCTTCATGGGGTCACCCTTCCCGTTCCTTGTCCTCTTGTTACTTTACAAGGTTCTCCCTTTTGGAGATTTTTGTTTCTGGAACCACCCCTCAGCTCTAATTCAGTGGGAGTTCTGGTTTTTCACTATGTATGCCTGTGGACCTCCCTTTGCTACAGCCTATTGAGTTACTCAGATACTTTCTAAGGGTTTTTTTTTACATCCTTTACCCTCCATTTCACCTATTTTGAATGCCATAGAACAATTCCTCAACCCCCTGTGTAGGGTATTACTCCTGTCTTTTTACCCTTCCCACTCTGATGGGGGATTGGTAGCCAATCATCTGTCTGTCTTACTTGAACCAATCTTGGTCTTTCCTTAGTTCTTGATGTCTGGTTTTCTCACTGTACAGTGGATATTCTCCCTGGTGGTGGATGACCTAGTTCATGGCCTGATAAACTTTGTCCAGTCCTAATTTGTCTGTTCACCTTTTGCTTCCTTTGGCTTGTCCACAATGGTCAAACATTCAGTCTTCAGCCCTTCCCTTCAATTTGTCTATGGCCCCTTATTTTATTTTTTCTCTCTCTTATTGGGTCTGGTGGGCTTTTGCTTCATGGTTACATTCTTGAGGCCTGTTGTTCTGCTACCTTGTGGTTGTTTGACCATTACTTCCTCTTCCAGTGTGGCTTCCTTTGTAGTGACCTCCTTTCCCTTTTGAGAGTCATCTGAATTCAGGTAGCTGATTGGGCTCTCCAAGTAAGTCTTGGCCCCCAACCAGTATCTCATTCAACTGGGAATCTTTCTCACTCCATTTGTGAGGCAGGCTCAGTCTACTCTTTTATGTCTTTGAGCTTTTAAAGCCAAGACTATCATGTCTCCTTCATTTCCTGAAAGAGAGGACCTGTCTCTTCCAGTATGATCATTATTATTCTGTTAACACTTGCATGTGGTGTTATATAAGGAAGAATCACTACTAGTTTCCAGTGTGATCATTATTCTCTCTTATGACTTCACAGGTGGTGTTACATAATAAAGAAGAATCGCTACCGGCTTTCAATATGATCATTATTCTGTTAAGGCTTTTGCAAGTGGTGTTACATAATCAAGAAGAATCACTACCAGCTTTAGATGTTCATTCACTTCTTTCCATCTAGAATTTATTACAGTAACAGCTTGGAAGAAGAGTTGGATCAGTTTATATGTTCTTTTTATTCAAACTACTAAAACATTGGACATTTGCTACACTCAAAACTTAATATTTGTACATGATCTGCACACTCCATTTAGTTTTTATGATGGCTAAGAAATATTTCTGTTAAGTATTAAGATTACTTTGTAAGGGGTGTGAAAATTGGAATTAAATGAGACTGCATGATCTTTAGCATTTGTTATGGTATTCTTATTTTTTATGTTTGTATGTCTATTACAAAAAATTTATTACATAGAATGGCACAATAATCATTAATTGTCAATTTCGTCATTAAATACTTTACCAAATACAAAATAAATAGCACCATTAAATTTCTTGTAAAAAACTTTATTATGAAGTTATTTTAAAATTTGTAAGTTCAACTGTTTGATGTCCTATAGTAAACAAATAAACAACTTCCTCTTTTATATATATATAGATAGATAGATTCTTCAAGATCTTGTTTTTGTCATCTTATGCCTTTTAATGAAGATGGGAACATTGAAAGGGAAATAATATAATAGCCAATGCTCGGTGAAAGGTTTATGTTTATAAACATTTTTTTGTTGTTCTCGACTTGATTTTTATTTTATTACATCGTCTCCATAGTCACTATTTGCAAATAGTCAATAATATTGTAGGTCCATTTTATTGTTGTTCTTTCTAGGCGTCGTTATAACACATTTTCATCTCATCATTTAATTTCTGTTGTGCATACATTGTTGTATGTTTATTCAAAAAAAATGGTGCAATAATCATTAATTGTCAATTTTGTCATTAAATACTACAC